GGGGGGGGGGGGGGTTTCGGGGGGGGGGCGATTTCAATTCAGTCGATTTTTTTGGCGAGTTCATCGATTGTAGGTATTTGTTTTTTGATTGATGTTATATCGGTGTTCGACGTTTTTCTGGGAGAATCGAAGAACTTTTTTGGTTCCGAATGGAAGCTTTGGAATTGTTCAAATTTAAGTTTTGAATTTTTTTTATATCGAGGTAGTATGATGCAAAAAACCCGAAAATGCAATTTTTAGACCTCGTTTGTACGTGTGTGTGTGGACGTCTCTACGAATGGATGGAATTGAATTTTTTTTCTCAAATGTAGGTATTATTGAGCCCTATCGATCGCCATTAATTGAAATTTAATTCATCGATTAGTTCTTTGAATTTTTTTCGACAATTGGTTCTACCACGATAACTAAAAATGTTCTGAATTGATTGAATGGTGGCCTAAAAAATTTGTTTGGTTGTCCCTTTGACAAAGTTCGAGGATGAAGGCGATAGGAATAATCGTTATTTTGATTTATTTGAAAATTTGCAAAAATTTTGTATTTTTTGAAAATCAGAATTCCGGGGAAATCTTTGAATATCACGCTTCAAATGAATTCAATCATAGCTTAAAATGTTTGTTTTAATGACATTAAGTCGAAGTTAAAAGATGATTACGATAGCTATATTGATTGCTTTAATTTTTATGATGATAGTTGAAAATTTTGAATTGTTCATAAATTTCCTTGAAAGTGAGCTTTCTGATAGTTTCTTCAAATGTGATATTTCAAATTCATTTAAGTATGTGTAAATAAAATTTCTCTATTAACATTTTATCGAAGGGCTGAGGGGAGAGATAGAACCGCAAAAAAGACAATCGGTTGTATAGAAGAAAGGGATAATAAGAATAATGATTATGATAACATTCAACTAAATTGAAAATCTGACGCAATTAGTTGAAAAGAAACCTTATTCTATTTAATTAAATGAAATAAACAATTAATCATGCATAATACAAGGAAATGATGCGCAAAATAACCATTGGGCCTATACTATTTGCAATACAAGAACAATTTTTTGCCAATTGTTTGGAAGAAAGTCGGTTCAATTCTCAACAATCGCCCATCCCTAATGGTTTGAAAGGTCGGGGGGGGGGGGGGGGGGGG